ACCGAAAGACGTAATTCACAATCGCACCGAGTGATTAAGCCGTAGACGTTAGATAATCGAAACGGGTAACTATTTTTATCAGTTTTTACAGAAAAACAATAATCAGAGAGAAAAAAAATATAAACGGAAAAAATAACCATGGGAATGAAAGAAAGTATACCTGATCCGAAGATTAGGGTTTGGACGGGAGAATCTGATGAGAGAATACGGAAACCCTAAAATCGGCAAAGTCTAAGCTCTCTGTTTGGGTAGCGAGAAAACACAGAGGAAAAAACCAGAAATGAAAGATATATATATATACATAGGAGAGAGAAAAAAGAAAAAGCAACACTACCACATCTTCCTGTTTTTCCTCTTTTGTTTTTACTTTTTGAGTAGGTCGGTTGCACGCGCTTACCTGTTTAAGGTAGAGCCTGTTAGGCAATCCTCTTTAATTTCCTACCCGCTAGATATTAAGGATGACAAACAAATCTCCAAGTGGCATTTGGAGAAAGCGAGTACGATGTTTTAACCGATTGGTGCGAGTGAAGGACGATGCTCCCAGGAAGGGTAAAATAGTCAAACCGTAATACTGCATTGATCCCATCCCGAAAAATAGCCGTTCAATTTTAGCCATGAACTTCAATTTCACAAAACAGAAAACGACGTCGTAGGAACGCCCGATATTTGTGAAAAATGGATCCTGCTATCTGCGGGCTGCACAGCCGCCTCCCAATATTATTTAAATAAAAGTTTTAACAAAATCTTTAAAAAATATTAATTATCAGAAAATTAAAATAAAAATGCTTTCAGATTATCAAAGCAGAAATTATTATAAATTTGATAAAGATAAAATAACAATGATAAATACATACTTTTGTGAAATAGTTCTATTTCATGAGTTGAATAATTTTTCGTTAAATATATTTATAAATTAATAATTTATTAATTTATTATCATAATATTTTGAAATATAATATAAGATTGATTAATTAATTATTAATAAATTTATACTTATGTGTTATTTAACTAATATTTATGTTTAAATTAAATAAGTTCGTTCATTGGATTAAGGACGTTCCTTTTTTTTTTTTATAACGGACAAAGTGGGTGTTTCTTGACTTTTTTAATTTAAGTTAGATATATGCATGTATTGAAATATATACATGTTCATGCATAGATATGAGCTTTAGTTAAGCATTATGCATATATATATTCATATGATATATATCTATATATATATATATGTTACGTATGAGTAAAACAATCACTTACAGGTCATATGTGTACAAAGATATATTTTTCCTGTACATCGGTAACGAAGATAGGAAAGCCCGACAAGGAGAAGAGATTAATCATCTCTTCTCTGCTGCATGCAGTTAAAATAGCAACAACATATATACATATATATTTATATATGTTACCTATAAGTAAAACTGTAGCACCCGGAAAGGAGGAAAAAAAAAAAAAAAAAAAAAAAAAAAAAAAAAAAGGGGGGGGCCACGTCAGCAGGCCCGGTCAGCAGTCCCGGCCAACCGGGGCCTGCCACGTGGCAAGATCGCGTCACTCCGAAAGGAGCCACGTTGGCGATCCGCGTGGGTGCGATCCGACGGCCCAGATCAATCACGCGATCGGACGGCCCAGATTCAAACGCACGGACGGCCCAGATTCAATCAAAAACGAACGGCCCAGATTAAAACGAAACGAACGGCTGTGATCAAAAGGCAAGGGGTTATAAATAGAACCCCCACACCAGACCAAAAACCCTAGCCGCCAGCCGCTCGCCGGAGAAGACGAACCAGAGGCCGACCGCCGCCACCCGCCGCCACTCGCCGCCGCACCGGGGAAATTTTCGACCGCCGATCGAGGTAAATTTCATACCCCCGACTCGTTTTTCCCCACTGATTCCTCCTATGGCCAAATCGAAGCCGAAATCCCGGCCAAACGGCCGGAATACGCGGCCGAAGCCCAGCGGCGCAGCCGCGCCCCCTCTCGGTTTTTGCCTCCGACGAGGCCCTTCCCGGCCTCCGTTCGATGCAATTTTTATATCACCGTGATCACCATTCTTTTCTCTACAGGTTGACCGAAGCCAAATCACCAAAACACGAACTTCGCCGGAGAGTCGCCGTACCCGAGAGCGCCGCCGCCGGTAAGCTCCGTTTTTCCGTGATTTTTTGGCCCCCCGAGGGCCCTAGGGTTGTTTTCTGACAAGGACCAATGCGAGTGTGGCCGAATTCGGCCAAAAACGGCCGAAAACAGTCAACCCGAGGCGACTCGCCGCCGCCAGCGGCGGCGCCGTCGCCGGAGCACGGCGGAGCCGCCGTGCCGGAGTTGCGATTTGGGCCGAAAGAGGCCCTGGGCCTAATTTGGATTTTTTTTGGAACCCGTGCAGGTACTGTTAGCGTGTTTCAGTTCCCCGGGAAAAATTCAGGGGAAAATTAGGGACAGCCTGCAGGCGCACTGTGAATCGTATTCGGATCCCGAAAACAAGTAAGGACCCCTCACCCTATTTCCTATCACGGTATTAAAGTTCAAAATGATAAAACAGTATTTCTTGAATTAACGCATGTGTGAAATTGCTTAAGGTTGCTAATGGAGCCCGAGTGTAGTGTGATTGATGATTTACTGTTATTTGGCCTGTTTACAGCTTTAAATGCAAAATGAGGTTTGATGTGTTCATTTTACAGATTTGTGTGCATGTACTGCGTTTTTATTAATTATGGGTTGAATGACTGAAAAACTGATACTGTATGTTGTCTGTTTGGTATGAATTACGATTTGCTTGTTTAAATGTGAATTGATGATGCTGATTGAGGAAAAGGAAAAATGAAAGATTGTGTAGACTGATAATTGTATTATGGGGGTCAGCCTGACTAGATATCCTGGGAGATGGTGGACGGACCGGGTCCGTAGGGAACCCTACCGGGATTGTGGTCTCACATGCCGGACGGGGTATGGAGATCTTATGGTTTTGGCGCCCATATCGGACGGGGTATGGGGACGGCCCGTTTCACCCTCATACCGGACGGGGTATTGAGGTTTATGGTTTTGGCGCCCATACCGGACGGGGTATGGGGACGGCCCGTTTCACCCTCATACCGGACGGGGTATTGAGGTTCATGGTTTTGGCGCCCATACCGGACGGGGTATGGGGACGGCCCTGGAAACTGATTATGAATGTTAAAGGTTAACGGGTAGCGGAACCCCGATGGACCCCCACGGATACTAGTAGGCTGGTAAATGAGAAAAAGATATGTTGTACAATGATTGAATTACAAGAGGCGTGATAAGTGTTATGTTTTACAGCTTAGATTATTCAATGATTATGATAATGTTATTGTTTTTCTCATATTGTTTTCATAAATTCCACCAAGGTAAGTGGATGGTAAAAGTTTTATTATTGATAAAAGGTTTTGTTGTTAATAAACGAGTTTATTGTAAATTATGCTCCATTGGTCTTTTTGTGGTTTTCTACCCACCTTTATCTCCGTGACGGTGAGATATCGTGATGTTCTTACTGGGCTAGTGTATAGCTCACTCCTTAATTAACCATTTCAGATCAGGAAGACATGGTTCCCGAGCCCGTTCCGCAGGAGGACGACGAAGGGGATGCCTAGAGACTCTGTAGTCATACGCATAGTTTATTTTCGAGTTTTCTTTCTTAGTTAGTTTAACCTTTTATATTTTAAGTACGTTTGTTTGGTTTTTCGTGTAAGGGATGTTAACTGAAATTTTGATCTCGCTTCCGCATTTGATATATTTAAATACTCATTTCATTTTAATATTTTTCGGGGCCATTACAAAAACAATCAGTTACAGGTCATACATGTATAACATATATTCTTCATATACATCATCAAGATGGCAAAGCCCGATAAGGAGAACATATTAATCATCTCTTATCTGCTGCATGCGGTTAATATAGCAACAATATATATATATATATGTTGATACAGTTCGTTGTTCACAGAGACAAAGTAAACCCCCGTTACTTCATCAACCGATTGATACGAGCAACCAGTTATCAAATACGATTTCCAACAGTTCAAAGTCCGATAAATTTAAGTAGATATCTAAAGTTATTTGTATGTACAAATTAGTAGAGAAGCAACTGTATTCTACTTTCTATTTAAGTATGTATGCCAAAGAGAATGCAAGTATGAATTATCAGTAATAAAATCAAGATTGTTTCTCACCTTAAGAGAAAATTACAAATTTTGACTAAGACCATTTAATTGGTATCAGAGCAGACATGGTGTGCGGTTCGTGAATTTCAAATGGAATTTGAACATTTGGGGAACATGGTGTGCGGTTGGACCCAGAAGGCTTTATAGTGGGAGCAGTCATGGGCGGGCTTAAGCTCGAAATTTCGGATGAAATTCGTTTATTCCAGTTCAAAACTTTGAAAGAAGTCATTAGTCTGCCCGGATAAGAGAAGAATAATTAGACCGGCTTCGGCAGTCCACTCGAATCAATCGGCTCGGTTCAAGCTCCCAAACACAAACCATAACCTTGGCTTCTTCGTCCACGAACACTCTAGCTGCACCCAAGCGTCCCTCATGGGAGGAGATGCAGCACCGCCGAACCCAGGGACTGTGTTTTAATTGCGACATGAAATTCATCGTCGGTCGTCGGTACCGCAAGTCGTAGATAATTTTACTCGACGGAGGCAACGAAGAAAATGAAGAAATCGCGACCGAAGACCCCGAAATTTCTTTGCACACCTTGTGGGGTTGGTTGTCTACTCAGAGTTTGAAGATAGCAGCTTCCGTTGACAATCAGGGAGTCGTGGTGTTGGTGGATAGCAGGTCGACTCACAATTTCATGAATGAGCGCGTCGCAAGTTTGCTACAGTTTCCGGTGGCGCCAGCTGAACCTTTTCAAGTCAAAGTAGCAAGTGGTCGTTCGATGAATTGTCGGGGCGGTTCGAAAGAGTTCCAATGGAGATGTAAGGTATTACATTCTTCCTTACTTTTTTATGCTTTGCCTCTCATCGGTTGGAAATGTTGTTGGGAATGCAATGGTTGTCGAAGATCAACACTGTCACTTGCGATTGACGGAGTTTGAAAATAGATTTTGAATGGTAATGACAGAAACGAAAACTTCAGGGGATCACTCTTGCCTTTCCCAGATCGGCGTCTTTGAAGGAAGTTAACAGAGAAATGCACCATAAGCCGTCTCTATTAGCTGTTTGTTTGACACCAAATCAACCACCCGATCACACCTCCATCCGGCTAGAATTGCAGAAGCTGATTAATGAATTTTCTATTATTTTTTGGGAACCAAAGGGTCTATCACAGCCCAGGGATATCAAACATCAAATCATTCTTCGAGAAGG